AACGGGAAGAAATAGACCAGTGTATAATTAGTGCAAACAGAGTTTTCTTCTCCCTCTCAAACGTATTGAACTCCCTGAAAATCTCAAACTAAGGGTGTTCAATGCTATGATGAAGCCAGTTCTAATATATGGCTGTGAGACTTGGATACTAACCAGCACCCTAGAAAAAAGTGTTTTAAATTTCAAATTTTAAAAGTGTGATTTGAGAGGAAAACCCTCTGCTCGATAACCAAGAGATCTGGGATCAAAGTACTAACACATGAAGAAGAAAGACCAATAAAGAATTGTTTACAGAAACTGGTCAATAAATATCCTATCATATGAAGTGCTGTGCCCGGAGGTTAAGATGGGAGGGGATGTAGCTCATAGCAATCCATCTGGTAGTCTCTACGTAACAATGAATGCCTCAAAAGAAGGCAAAAGACCACGTGAAAGGCCAATAAAACAGATGGATAGATAAAATAAAAAAAGATGCAACAGGGCTGGGTGCAGATAAATGGAAAGAAATAACCCATGACAAGCTGAGAGGGAGCAGGCTTGTTAAGGCGGCAAAAGATCTACATGTTTTGTAATGCCAACAGAAAAAGAAGAAAATATACATATATATATATATATATATCATTTAGGTCTTAACCCCATTGATGTTCATTATTAATTTTAGTGATGTTTTTAGCACGAAAATTTATACTACAGAGGTAAAAAAACATCGTTTGGAAGAGGATTAATAAGTATTGACCTTCACACAAATGAATAATCCAGTAAACATAAATAGTTTGTTATATAGAGGGTATTTTAAAGAAAACTCAAAATCCTGCATTATTTTCCAGACAGCCCAATAGTACGGTGGTGAGTGAATTGGCAACTTCTCTTTAGTTTTAAGGTCATCCAGGTCTCTGATTTCAATCAGATACTCCTCTCTCCAGGCCTTAATTTCAATCAGATACTCCTCTGTCCAGGCCTTAATTTCATCCTCTAGTTCTAGTCCACCCTCTAGAGTGTGTTTTATGTCGTTGAGGGTGTCTCCTGCCTTCCAGACTCTAGTAAAACTTTCACCCAGGTCTTTGAGAGATGGATCTTATCGGACGTTCCATAGTGTATCTATAAAAGTACTAGATTCTGGAATTCTTACAATTAGGGCATCTGGTCTGGCGCTTTTTGGGGGTGTGTTTTCTTCTCTCTTTATTCCTCTTGGTGACAGCCACTGCTCTTCTATGGGGGCTGATCCGACACCCATTGGTGATCTTTGGCCTTCCTTTGGTTCTTTGTGTGTTTAGGCTCCTTTTCAAGACGTTGATACCATTGACTGCTGGATCTGCTTTTCATTTTTGCTACTGTTTCCCTCCTGGGAGCTATGTGGCAGATTGGCTAGCTTCTTTGCAGATAGGTGGTTCTCTGGCTTAAATATTTGTGTCCACAGTGGTCCTATCCTGTGTTTTCTCTGCTGCATAGTCAGACAATTTTATCTCAAGCGATCTAAGGTATTGCTCGATGTTGCCTACATGCTCTCTCATTTTGCTATGGACATTATGTCTCGGCTGGATGAAATTTCCAAGCTTCATAATTTCCTCGACAAGCTCTTTCCACTCCTGGTACTTAGAAATTCATAGCATAGAATCTGCAGCGGTTACATGATGACGTCTGGGACCCCACTAGCTCGTTCCCAGTTGATGCAGATATTGGGGATCCGACCCTCTGCACCGTAACCTTTAAAATCTCCACCTTACTCAAAAAATTCGTACGCAACTGAAATTGCATAGTTCAAATTTGTACATGCCTATTTTGTACCATCTATAATTTTTACTTATATTTCTTTTTGTCTGAAAATAATTATTCCTACCAAAAAGGGTGCTAAGTGAAAGTTCTGTGATGCCCGCACCGCACCAGTTTTTAAAAAAATAATTATTAGTTATGTGTTAATTTGTGTTATAACTGTTTTATATTAATTAGCATTTTTTAAATATTGTAAATTAGATAAAAAATTTTATATAAAATTACCTATTTCTGTTTTGTTAATTTATTAATTGGAAGTTTATAGAAAATTATACAAGTTTGTAGTAATACTTTGATATTTTAGTTCTTAAAAAACATTTCAATATTAAAGAAGAGAAGAATAGTTGGGGTGGTCAGTCAAAAAGGAAGGCAAAAATAAATGATAATATTTATTTTTTACATATGCCGACGATTCGACCTGAAGTTCAGGCCTTCATCAGGTCGGGTCACTTCAGGTGGAAACGTCGGCATATGTAAAAAATAAATATTATCATTTATTTTTGCCTTCCTTTTTGACTGACCACCCCAACTATTCTTCTCTTCATTATCCACGACAGTCAACCAATTACCAATTATCATTTCAATATTATATTTTTAACCATTAATAAATATATACTTTTATTTTCCCTTTTTGATTTATAAGAAAAGGGAAATTAATTTTATTTAGTTTTTAAACCTTCCTCCAATTTGATGCTCTACAACTTTGGTTCTATGGGTTTTTCCTCTTAGGGAACTCATTTCCAAGTTACAGGGCCATTTATAGTTAGTAGTATGTCTCAATTGTTTACATATTTGGTAAAAATCAGTATTGGTTGACCATGGTTTTATTATACCTTACCGCATAACCAAATTATGAAGTTTATGTACTCGTTTGATGCAAAATTTAACGTTCTTTAATTTATTAAAGAACACATTTTTCGCTTTGATGCATCGTTGAGGAGTTATAGGTGAAAAAAACAAAACATAAAAAAAATCTGATTTTTTTGGCTGTAAAAAGTTTTCCTTAGTGGCCCGCGTCAGTAATTTTGTTTTTTACATGTCTAAACCTATATATACACGTTAAAAAAATAAAAACTTTTCTCACATTTTTGGCAATGGATTTTTCGTTCTGATCCTCAAATTATTGGCCTAATATTCTTTAAATCATCCGCCATTTTTGAAAGAAGCGGCTCTGGAATGGCAGACAAGGTTCTTTTTACTCAGTATAACATACACTTTTGTAATTTAAATCAAACTTTCGCCTGCGATCAGTTCGATTTTTTGGGCCCTGGCTCCAGGGCTAAAATGGCTACTTCTTCGTAAACTTTCACTTTGTGAAGCTTCCAGATCTCCTCCCTCTGCAGCACTCCCAGTTTCACCACAGATGATTTAAATTCTTATTTGATATCTGCCTCTTAAACTCCTCCATTTACCTCTTCCTTCCTTTCTCCTAGAACATCTTTCAATGACGACGACTTTTACTTTTCAGATATTTCTCCCACAGACCTCATATTCGCCATGATGAAATCAGACTCTAATTCTATTGGTCCAGATGGCATTCCAGTCAAATTATGCCTCCCTGAAATCCTCCCGGTACTCCTTTTCATCTGCTATTTCTCCCTTCAAAATTTAGTATTTCGTTTCTTGTAGAAAAAAGCCATGGTCCTTCCTCATAGATAAAAATTCGAACCCGTCTTCTGAAGATTTCTGGCCAATCTCAATCCTTTCTAACCTTTCAAAATCCCTAGAGAGAATAGTACAATCCCAAGTTTCCAACTTCCTTGAACAGTCCAATCAACTTGATCCTTACCAATCTGGTTTCCGACCAGGTTTCTTCTCACAATCCGCCCTAATCAAAATCATTAGTGGCGTTCAGTCCGCCATAGATGACAAAAAACTAATTGTCCTTATACTCCTTGACTTGTCCAAAGCCTATGATACCATTAACCATTCCATTCTCTTTTCCAAATTAAAATCATTAGACTTTTCCAATAGTTCTATCCTGTGGTTTCAATCTTTTCTCTCTCAACACTCACAAGCTGTCGCTTTCCCTAATCAACCATTGTCTTCCTATCTTACTCTGTCCTCAGAAGTGGCCCAGGGCTCTAGCATATCTCCTCTCTTTTTTAGTTCTTATATCAACGACATCCATAAATCAATCCTTCACTGCTCCCATCACCGATGATTCTCAAATTTACTTTTCCTTCTATCCCTCCGAGTTGCATGATGCTTTTACCTAAATTTAAGAAGACTTGAATCGGATCATTGCCTGGGCAAACTTAAATGGGCTAAGATTAAACGCTGCAAAAATTCAAGCCATTATCATTGGTTCCAAACCCCTTCTTATATATATATATATATATATATATATATATATATATGCTAGGGAACATATGTAATTTTTTTTTACAATTTATTTGTTTACATAGACAGTTATATAAATTTGTATATTCCATCACTACAATACTTTGCTTATAAAATTGATTTAGCATTCCTTTCTAATTTCATTTAGTGATTATTATGTCATTGTTTTAGCTCCAATATTGTAGTATTGCAACCCTGTTACCCAACTGTTTTAGTTAATATATTCTAAGAGCTATTTTTCATAATTTTTTACTAGTATTTTAGTTATTCTTTATTTTAATAGGTCTTTTGGCCAGATTTATTGTTAATTTATGTGAACTACACTGTTATTCTTAAGGGACCTAGTCGCCGAATGAAGATGGTTTTCTATTTCTATATTCGACAGTTTTTTATTTCATATTTTGTGAGTTTATACTGTATTAAAATTCAGGCTCTGTTTATAAGACTTCTCCATTCATCACTGATCAGATTTAGCAATCTCTACCTTTGTTATTTGTGTGTAATCAGAATTTCTATAAGAGTAGGAGAACTGGGGATGTCTCAATTAGGGAGTTGGGATTTTAGCTGGGTTATTTCATATGATTTTTTTTTCCACCAATGGTGTATTCAAGTTCCATATCAAAAAGTAAGATTGTAAACTATTATAAATATACGAAATAGAAACAATTTTAATTCTGTAAGCCTGAAGAAAAAGTTTTTAAGAATTACCCTCTTATCTCACCTCTGACGAAAGAGAATGGGTTAGCTCCATCCCTCCTTGTCACCTCTGCCATTAATGGACACTTCTTGTGATGCCATTAATGGTTAAAGGGTTAATATATCAGTAAATGAATTATTGTGTGTATACTTATCTCTATGACATCTTATTGTGTTTTGATATTTTTTAGGGATTTATTTTGAAATTCTTTTTCTCTACAAATCCTTATTTTACTGATTTATGTCTAACAAAGAAGTATGAAATGAGGTGTTCTCCTGATGAAAATGACCCATGGAGTTTTGAAGGCCCTGAAATATATAAGTGCAAGGTATTGTATATATATATATAAATAAATATATATGTGTGTGTGTGTGTGTGTATAATGTAGAGATTTTGATTTATTTAAAGTTATCTTTGAGGGTTGTCTAAATCCAAAGATTTCAATTTTTGAGTTATTAATATTAGTTAAAATTATAGAAGTAGTTGGTTATTCATCTGAAATCTTTGGAATGAGTAGCAACGATGAAGGCCTAAAACTTAGGCCGAAACACCTGCACAAAGAAAATAGATAATTTTTTTGTACTTCACTGACTGCAACCTCCAACGAACTTCTGATTTATGACTAATTTTTCTCCGTATCGAGCCTTTTTTCCTAATGAAATTCAAAAGGGACGGCCATTCGTCAAAATTTCAAAATCTTCCTCTATCCAATAGTTTCCTGTGTTGGTTCAAATCCTTCCTCTCAAATCGGTCCCAGTATGTAGTCATCCCAGGTCAACCTCCATCTTCTACTTTGTTTGCTATTTACATCAATAACCTTCCCCTCCTGATCCATCATTCCCAATAGTATATCTATGCAGACTATTTCCAAATATATACCTATTCTTCCCTTAAAACTTTAAGAAGACTTAAGCAGATTCTGTGACTGGGCAGACGCTAACAACCTGAAGTTGAATGCAGAGAAGATAAAGGCAATCCTAATTGGCTCCAATCACCTCCTTAAAACTGTTCCTAAAATCCCAATCTTGTTCTTACCGGATAATACCAGCAAAAACCTTCTGACCTATTACCAGCCACAAAAAAACTTTAAGAAGTCTTAAGCAGATTCTGTGACTGGGCAGGAGCTAACAACCTGAAGTTGATTGCAAAGAAAATGAAAGCAATCCTAATAGACTCCAATCACCTCCTTGAAACTCCCTAAAATCTCAACCTTGTTCCTTCATGATAATCCCATCAAATTTTATCCCACTGTTAAGAAATCCTTATTGATTGATCAAACCCTTTCCTGGAAAGACAATGTATCCAATATCTCCCGCGCTGTCCTTTCCACTTTAAAACGTCTAAATTATCTCCACCACCTATTTCCTTTTAAAACTCTCCTGATCACTTCCTTAATATTTTCCCACTTCGACTATTGCCTTGGATTATGAGACACAAGAATCCCAGTGAGGTTAAGATGTCCCTATATTAGATTATTCTGGTGCAGCTGGGTGCTTAGAAGTTCATGTAACCCACTGGCTAACTGAGAACTCCAGAAATCTGTTAAATGCTCGGAACTGGAAGGCTGCCGCATTGGACAGTTAGGACTGGAGGAAGCAGATCGAGGAGGCTAAGACTCATTGATGGGCTGTAGTACTGGGAAAGAAGAAGAAAAAGATACTATGAGTGGAAAGCACAAATATAACATATTACAGCTAAAATATAAAATGTTGAAATCTGAATAAACCTTTAATGTTTCGATGGATACTGGAGTACCATAAATATGACTATAGCTCAAAAAATTGGGTTTCAAATGGATCAAATGTGGTGACGGCAGAAAGTCCCTCATAATTGAGGGTTTACATTTAGGCTCGTATTTATGAAACATATTGATGATTGCTACGTCAAAGATTTATTCATTCATGAGAGGAGACTCCCACCGAAGATGTACGTCTTCTGGGAGGAAGAAGTTGTTATTATGACACCAGACAGGCACAGAGAGACTGCTTTGTGGTGCCGCCTGTCGGGTACAGAGGGAGACTGCTCCTCCTAAAGAGTGTATACAGATTGATTTTTTGCTTAGCCATTTACTGAAAAGTAGCATGGTTGATGCCATCATCATTGCACAACAGATCCAATGCAAGCTGTCAAGTCAGGGAATTTTGTTAGTACGTAAATATTTTTTTTCTAATTGGAAATAAATATACTGTGGATATCGTTTATTATGAATGACCTTGAAAGGAGTAAAGTTTGACTGTCGATAACAACACTGGTCGTCATATTGAAATCAAACCAGAATAATGATTAAAATTAAAGCCAAATGGACTTAAAACGGTGCCTTTTTGAAAAAAAAAATATACTAATACTATTTACTATTTGTAATATGTACATTTATGGACATTTTTATTTATTTTTATAAAGTAATAAACTTCTTAACGGTAATTCTGTCTATAGATACATGTCCATTAGAGCATTTTTGGAGCTTAGAATGTTGAGTCTGGTTGAATATAAACTTCTTAGAAAATTGTGTTTCACTGCATTGAATATATCAGTCTCATGATAATTCTCATGAACTGTCGGCTAAACTTAAGTCCATTCATTGGTTAACTGAAAGAGAATGCTAACATCTTCACAGCTAATTTTTTTTTTAGAAGCAGTTTTGTGTCAGGAGCAGAATCTTTGTAACCATTTTCATAAAATATTGGTTAGTCTTGAGTAAAATCTGCCTTAACTCTGATATCGGAATATTTAGAAGAACTGATTTTGTCATTGGTAGATCGTTGTTTTTTTTATTTAAAAGATTCACCACATTCAGCATGCTGTCTCAAATAGACTTTGAATTTTTTCAAATTGTTAAAAGACTTAGGTTTATTAATTCTTGAGCCAGGCTACTATTGGACTCTTACCTCTCCACTCGGCAGCATATATGGAATTTTTCTTCTAAGGAAAACTTCTTGCTCTTCCATATTCTTATTATAATACTAAACAGAAATATGAATTCAACGCTAAGACTGGGAAGTGACAGTTAATTATGGAAAATGGCAGATACCTATATACTTTTTAAATATTATTTTGCATTATATTTTTAGTTAATTCATGTGGCTAAGGTGGTGCAATTCATTAGCTGGCAAGCACTCATTCGTCAGTTTTTTTTTTTTTATTTTGTCCTCGCCTTTTAAACTATACGGAGTTTTCCCGGGCCAGGAGGTGAGGGCAGGGAAATAATGCCGAAGTTAAAAGTTCTCCGGGCACCAGGACATGAATTTTTATCTAGTTTATCTTTACGCCTTTTATTCGTCATAGTTGGTGTCATATGGATAGTTATTACGCTGTTCATAGTAATAAAGAAACTAGATTAATATTAGGATCCTCTATAGTTCACTTCTTTTTATAATAAAGAAAATTAGAGCTTTATATGTCAAATATCAACTACTTCCACTCAGTTTGTTAAAATAAAAAATACCTTCCTCTAAAACATTATATTAGTTATTTAAAAGACTGATTTTTTTTTTTTTTTTACTCAAATCATTTTGTAGTCAATTTTCTATCATTTATAATAAATAAATTTAGTTATAAATTAAACATTTTTAATATTTATGTCTCAAAACATATTGTTCAGGGAAATCTTATCATTAAATAGAGAAATGTCAGGAAATTTTACTTTAATTGTCTGGTATGCATGCTGAAGAAAGTCTCAATAATTTTGGAAAAAGGGTACAAGAGGTTTCCTAAGAGATAGAAGAAGGTAATAGAGCAGAAGGTTCATATATGATACAGTAAATCAACTTACACAACAAATAAGGAAGAAGGAACAAACTTACGGGACAACCTAATATATTCTAAAATATTAAATTACAATTTCAAATTACATTATGATCCATTAAAAATATAAAAAACACAACCTAGAATAAGTGTTGAGTTTATTTAGAAACTTATCCCTAGTAGTAATTATAATAGATAGAACAAAACTATTAATCAAAAGTAAATAAACATGGAGCATAGTGATGAACAGTTTTTGCTTAGGTGGATGTAGAATTACACGAATAATTAATAAATGGTGAGTACATATTATGTATTTTCAATTCTTCATGACTGAGAAATATTAATTAGTCAATGAATATTCATCAGTCAATGAATGATTATAGAAGGAAATGGCGGGGACACAATTTTTGACTTCAGGACAATGTTTGGACCTAGTAAGAAGGTAAACATACTAGATTTCCCTACTCCTAGATGGTGAGCCAGATGTGAGAGGGGCAATTTTTTAGGATTTTTTGCTTATATCGGGAAAACTATCCATTGCATCAACAATGACGTTCTATACAAAATTAAAGCTAATAAAATTTGCAGTATGATTTATTATATATCTTTTTTCGCTATCTCACTTAGTTTTCGAGATATCCGTCTGGATTTGGAAAAACAATTTTTTAACTCGTGTTTTTTACACTGTATTTGACTAGCTAACTGTTGATTGCTTCGTTCTACGATTAAGTCATTGGGAAGAAAGTTTTTAGTAATTAAGTTTCTTTCAAAAATTTGTATAATTTTAGTAGTTGATCTTCAACTTTTCAAAAGTTAGATCAATTATAACTTTGTTGAATATTTAATAGTTGACCATTGCATAATATCCATTATAAAAGAAGGAGATGGTCCGGGTTGGTGGTCATAAATAGTGGCAAAACTATTTAGCCTATTTATGACCACCAACCCGGACCATCTCGTTCAATTATAACTTTTTATATGTCAATTCCTAGTATAATATTCGTAAATAATTTGTATAATATTCTTTATTATATTGCTGTTATTCTCTATACATCTAAACACTATATATATTTATACATACATTTTATAATGTATATTATCTCAATATTTTGTTATGCAAATTCTTAGAATTGACACATAAAGTTATAATTGATCTAATTTTTGAACCGTTTGAGATAAACTAGTATAATATTTTTTTGGAAAATTTAATTATTAAAAACTTTCTTCCCCCATGACTTAATCGTAGAACGAAGATGTGGTAGAAAAATTTATTTTTCCAAATTATCGATAGTTGAGGACAGATATCTCCGAAACTAAGTGAGATAGCAAAAAAAGTATATAATTGAACATATTAAAAATTTTATCAGCTTTTATTTTGAATAGTACATCTTTGTCCATTCGATGGATAGTTTTCCTAATATAAGTGGAAACCTGAAAAACTGCAATAAACAAGGCAATTTTTTTTTTTTTTTTTTTTTTCCAAAATTAGGTGATTACAGATATTTCGGAAACTAAGCAAAAGGTACATAGTCAATCATATTGCAAATTTTATCAGCTTTAATTGTGTTTAGAATGTCTTTGTTGATGCGATGGATAGTTTTTTGGATATAAAAAAACTAGCAAGGAGTGGGGACTTTTAGTATGTTTACTTTCTCACTAATCCAAACAATGTCCCAAAGTCAAAAATTGTGTCCCCACCATTTCCTTCTATACCCCTTTTAGCATTAATTTGCTGTTTGCTGAACTAAATAACACCTTTAGGGTTATATCCATTGGATCTATTGATGCCAATTGTGGATGAACCAATGAGCCATCAGTGATTTATTCGATGAATAATGAGACAGCCTTATTGCCATCGATGTACTAAGCACTGACTTTAGTAACTTTTCCATTGACATTCGCTTTTTATATATTCTTATCTAGAAAGAATATTTTGGGTTTGTTGAATTAAAATCAGTATTACAGATGATGTTTTACTTTTTAGTCTACTGTAACTGTCATCTGTCATCAAAGGGTTAATTATAAAAATAAAATTATTGCTTAATGAATAAATTTTTCACTGCATTTTTATTTCAGTTGATCAATAATTATAAAGTTAATCTATTACAATTATTTTATTTCATAAATATTTGATTTGATTTCTATTTTTTATCAATTTCATTTATAACTTTTTAGGGTTGCAAAATTGAGTGGAATAAAAATATGAATGTTACTGTGAAAACAATAAAGAAAAGACAGCGACATAAATCACGTGGAGCTGTTAGAACAATACTTAAGACAGTTCAAAATGATTCCTTCTTTAATTTCTTTAATCCTCCTCAAGGTTTGTTATTTATTTTTTTACTTTATTAGTTGTGATTTTAAATCACAGTTTCTTTCTGCTGCATTAACAAAACTAATATTGATAGTATCATTTCTGTTAATAAATATTCATTTTTGTATTAGTATTTATATTATTGGGCTAGCATAATTCATTGTTCTTTGGATTGTCTCCAAATAGTTAGAGCCTAAGTTCATCAGGTGATCTGCTTCTTCCTCACCCCAACCAGAAGCTCCACAACGGCAACTCTGTTAGATCGCTGTAATTTTATTCAGATACCCTATTTATATTGAGTAGAAAATTACTTCTTCTGGAGTATACGCCATCGATGAACAGTCTTGATTTCCTGTTAATACCAGTATTGTTTGGCTTTGGCACCATAGATTTCACTGATTCTACTTTTGGTAAAGCTCAAACTTGTACTAAAAACTGGTTTAAGGCGTAATGGGAATGGTTTTAGAGCCTTTTCTGATTAGTTCATTATCTTTATCGTTACCTGGGACTGGGATACCAACCAGAGTGTCTTGGTGCTTATTCAACATTTACAGTTTTGAATATGAATAACATAAAGTTTAAGGTTGTAAAAGATTGCAATGCAATCCTAAAATCTTTTATAACTGGTAATCTCAAAGAGAAGTTGCAAAGTATTCCTATAGCTACCTGGCTGTTGGTGTTAGTTGTGATTCTTTCCTTTCAGTCCATTATGTAGTAAATTTGGATTCAAATGACAAATTATCATCTCTTTAAACTGAAATACTAAAGCACTTTTATCTAGATTTATTGGTAAGCCCTCATGAATTCTATATTTTCTCCAGATGTTGCCTCCTGAGATATTGTTATTACTACTAGGTTTCTTCGCTTTTCTATTCGCCATCGTGGGATGACTTGGGAGGTCACCAATTGTCGTGGTATGGTAAGCATTTGGTAGAGGGTGCCTGAACTTTGTGAAGGCTAGGTTCGCTATAATATTATATGATTTGAGTTCATGGCAAGCATCTCATCATCTTCTATCCTCATCTATCACCACCTATTTTGTGGAGAAATTTCTTTGGGGAAGAGGATAACTTTACTGTAAGGAACATCCCTAACCCCAATCAGGCCTTGGGATTAGAGAGGTGCTCAGCATTATTTCCATGGTAGCTGCTGTAGTGGTTTTCATAACAGCTTTAATCTTTGAAGTTTATTCAGTAATACTCTGTTGCCACCTACCCTTGTTTTGTGTTACATTCCACAGAGATTTGTTAGTTATATTAGTCACATGATTATTCCATTTCATGTGAGAACACAATGTCCAATCCTTAATCTGCAAAGAGCTGTTTCTTCTTTCCTGAAGGGTAAGTTTCGCAATTTTCCATTTAAAACAATTGATTTTTATTTCCTTTATTCAGACTTTTCTTTTTTTTTTGTCTCTTCCTCGCCTTTTAGGCTATACAGGAGTTTTCCTGGGCCAGGGGGTAAGGGCAGGCTTAAAAGCTCCCCCGGCTCCAGGGCATGAACTTGTAATTGTTTTATCCTCTAAACTTTGGTTAAATATTTTGAATCATTAAGACCTATTCTAATTTATTTCTCTATTAAAAATAAGTATATTTAAAGCACAATATCACTGATGAAGTATATTAGAGGTACTTTTCATTGTTAATTATCCACATAAATTAAAATCACCTGCAAAAATGGTAATTCAAAATGTTTTATTTTAATGCAAGCTTTTGTTTATAATAAAAAAGTAAAGTATAATATAATTTTAATTTTCAATTTCAGTTCCTGAAAATGGTGAAGCAGATGATGAAACTCAAAATGTTTTATTTTAATGCAAGCTTGTTGTTTATAATAAAAAAGTAAAGTATAATTTCATTTTAATTTTCAATTTCAGTTCCTGAAAATGGTGAAGTAGATGATGAAACTCAAGCTCTTTTAACAAGTGACTTTGAAATTGGGCATTACATAAGAGAAAAAATTATTCCTCATGCTGTTCTTTATTTCACAGGTTTGATTTTAAATAGATATTTGTATTGGTTTTGTTTTAGTTATGTTTTTATTTATGATGCATCCATGGGAGTTTAATTGAATGCTATTATCTTAGCAATTTAAATTTTAAAACCTTCACTGCAGTTCCATTTAAATTAACTAGATTTATAAGACTTTACCAAGATGCTTAATGTTACAGAATAAAAATGATTCCCAATTACATATATTCAGACAGGAATAATAATAAATAATCACATTGCGCAATTTCGAATCACGTTTTCCTAACTTTTCGGATTTAATTGTTATTAGGGTCGACTGTAATGTTTTCGGAGGCGCTTTTAATACACTTCAAGGCATAATTAGATATAAATTATATCTAAACTTTATATGAAAATAATGTCGGATTTCACATTGCTCAATTGCGAATCACGTTTTCCTAAGTTTTCAGAGTTAATTGATATTGGGGTCGACTGGGTGTAATAGTCCTGCAATTTATCTCCCTTAAACCTCTACCATACTAGAGTTGGGCAAAAGTTATCTATAGCAAACAGCTAAATTAACTATTAGCCGGCAGATGATTCTGTAGCTGAATTAGCTATTAGCGGGAACAGGCCGCTAATTTTTAACTATAGCTAATTATTTGCTTTCCTTATAGCTAACAGCTAATTAGCTTTATCTATAACTACAACTAAAACCTAATAGATAATCACATATAAAAAAAAAATTGTCATACAATGTCGTATTTGGGATTGCACCATTGCGCATCATGTTTTTATAACTTTCAGATTTCATCGATATCTGATTCCACTATGATGTTGTCGGGTGCGTTTTTTATGAAAATAATATCGAATTTCAGATTGCGCAGCATGTTTTCCTAACATTTCAGATTTAATTGATACAAGGGCTGACTATAATGTTTTCAGGGGCACTATTTATAAAAATAATGTCGAATTTAATTGATATTATGGCCTACTATATTGTTTTTATGGGCACTTATTATAAAAGTAATGTCGAATTTCAGATTGCGCGTCACGTTAGCCTAACTTTTCAGATTTAATTGATATTAGGGTCAACTATAATGTTATTATATAACTCACTAGCAATGGGTAGGTCACTAATGCTCGATCGTTCCACAAAGAGTGGGGAAGATTCCCGCACCCATCTCCCTCTCTAGACTTCCCGTTACCCTACCCATTTGCGTACCCTAATTGATATTTTATTTTTTATTTTTTTTTATAAAGTTTCATGAATGAACCACGGCCATGAAGGCCTATTGTACGCCTTTGTTAAAGTCACTCATATTTTTTTTAGAGTGTAATTCCTGCAGTCTCAATGAACTGGAGTAAGCTTGTTGGTTTGATGAGCTCGTTTGCCTTAGGATCAATCACCCTACCAATGCTGAATAGTCAGAATCTCAGTCCAGCAAACCTGTCGCACCAACAAGTGATATGATAAGCTGTTTCATCTACTAAGAGATGAATCCTTTTTAATGTGCGCCAATATGCAACCTCGACAACACTATAGTTGACCCAAATATAAATTAAATCCGTCATTCAATTCAACTTTCCAAGCTTAACGAATATATACATTTTTAGGATTAACGAAATGGATTACCTGGAAACCGGAAAAAAAAAAAAAAAAAAAAAATTTCACTCGACCCGCCACAATATTCAGAACAAGTTCTAATTTTACACGGATGTAGGTGACTCAATGTCCAATGTTATTTTGGTTTTTTTGCCAGCGATAAACTCAGCAGAGTTTAAAGAAGTGGAGAGACTACAACTCTTTTTGATTATTTCAATTGACTACACAATCTCCTTCATCATAAATGAAAATTAAACACTTAAAAAATGTTAATGGATCGGTGGTAGTCTGTTTAGTTGTGTGGCACCTAAAAAAATAGCCGAATGACAAAGTTTTTATTATGAGAATTGCGAAACCTTGACTTCCATAAGCCTCCCCATAAAAAAATTCAAAACCCCCCTCCCACTATCCAATTTTATTAAATTAAATTTGGTATCTCCCACCCCATATTACAAAATCCATCTCAAAAAAAGATTTTTAAATTTTAAATATATACCCGTCAACGACGGGTACATCAGCTAGTTCTAGAATATAAGAATATTCTATATTTTTTCTGTTTGCATTACAGACCATGTAGATCTTTTACCGCCTTGACAAGCCTGATCCATTCCTGCTTATCTTGGGCTATTTCTTTTCATTTATCTGTACACAACTCTATTGTTCCTATCTATCCATCTGCTTTTTGGCCTTCCATGTGGTCTTTTGCCTTATATTAAGGCATTCATTGCTACGTAGAGGCTTCCAGATGGATTGTTAATAGCTATATGCCCTGCCCATCTTAACCTCCGTGCCTTCATATCATGGGATATTGATTGACCAGTTTCTGTAAGCAGTTCTTTATTGGTCTTTCTTCTCCATGTGTTATTACTCTAATACCAGATCGCTTCGGTTATCGTGCTGAGGATTTTTCTCTAAAATCTTTCAACACTTTTTTCACACGTAAATATAATATTTCATACTTACTCGCATAATTTTTATTAAGAAAAAATATTACCTATAGAATTAAATTCAAGATAAAATTAAAATTAATATTTTATTTCGCTTTTAACGCATGAATCTTGTCTTCCAAATAGTTTGAATTCAAATTCAATACCCTCTAAAACAAACAAAATTTTAGCATTATACTGCAATGTAAGTTAGAGCCAATGTCCAAGAAACCTTACGTTTGCCTGATGTTTTGACTGCCCTAGAGTAGACATAAAAGTCTAGTTTGGGGACTTGAATGCACAGATTGCCTCGGAGCAATTGTACAGACCAACAATCTAAAGATGGTATAACAAACCAAATTAACCATGTGATGATTAGTGCTTGACATGTATCAAGCTTAATGGATGTAAGGGTGTACAGAGGAGTGAATATAAATTCTGGCCATTGCCTCACTGTGGGGCCCTCTTAAGATTGGGAATATCATGTGAAAGAAATCCTTATGGAGATCGCCTGACTAAATATAATGTCTCTAAACTAAAAGATTCTGACATAAGAAAACAGTTTTCAACTCAAATGGATGTTAACGCAAGAGCAATAGATCAGGACTGTGACCTCAACCAGAGATGGACAGCAATCAAGGAGGCCATGGCAACCACAAGTAATCAAGTGCTAGGGCAGTTAGAAAGGAATAAGAGATTGGTTTCATGATAAATGTCGAGAGATTACCAATTCAGCTTTTATATAACAAATACTACTTATGAACGCCAACCAATCAATATATAGAACACTGTTACAGTTGACTAGCATATGACAGCAAATGTCTTACTTTCCCACTGTTTTCATTTTTACCTAATACTTACCCACAGTTTTCATGGACCAGTTTTTGGGAACAATTTTAAATAATAAAAAAATTCAATTTTGCCTGTTTATATGTTCTTAACTAACAGTGATGATATATACAGAATAAGATGGAAAAGTTAAGTATATAAAAATATCAGTTTATAATGGAACTAGTTCAACATTCCTCTATACCGCCACTGTGCCACAACCAGACGCTCACCATTTCAAGATCAATTATACTTTTTGAACATAACATTTGTAAAAATTTATTTTTTTATTTAAATATTTATATCTATAATGTATATTATTTGTATACAATAAAGTTTAAGTTATATAAAATTAACTAATCAAAAAACACAAACAGTCAGTCTATTCGAGTATGACTCTCGTTACCCGTTTTTTACATGAAACAATGATTCTCCCAGCTTTGTTTACTGGAATCCGGTTCAGATACACTACCTCATTAGTTGATTGATCAGTATATTTTATGTATAAGGTTTTGGTTCTACATCAATCTGACTATTATTTCATTTCATGCTCCTTTAACCCTATCTCCTTCCCTGTTTCCATACGAGGTCTGAATGCTCATCTTTCCCTTGTACTCCTATATACTAAGTCTCGAGGCTCATTCTTCTTGTAGTATTTCTTCGTTCCACGAAGTCTGGAGACTCATCTCTCCGTTTGTGGTGTGCATCCTGCAATGTCTTAAGGCTCATCTCTGAGCTCACAAACCGTGGATGATTTGGTCACTCATCCATCTGACAATTATCCTCTTCCTCATCCACTAAATCCCCTTGCCTCGAGTGAATACGCTCTGTCGAGGCCTTCTGTTCACTCTATTTACCTACCTCGACAAGTTCATATCTTAATTTTTTTCGAAATGTAATTATGTGTTTCTTATCACCAAACGTGTCCTTTTTGTGCTACACCGAACCTTAATCTTCATAACTTTTTAAACAAAAGTGGTTAAATATGCAATGATATGCTTTCGTAGAAGGAATTTATGCTTCAAAAGAACCTCTTTCGACAGTTTAGGCCATTCCAAAAGCTTAATATTCTTAAGTAACTGCCAATGGGTACTAAAAACTGGGGAGGGGAGGTTAACTCAAGTTTCTTATAATTCAATGAAACAAAATTAAGAAAAACCTAAAATATTATTTTTTATACTAAAAATTATTAACAGATGTTGGCTGCAATAAATACTCCATATTAATTAATTTATTGTTTTCACTATTCTTATGCTTGGTTATTTTGAACTAAAATTTTATGTATACTTGAATAAAAAAATGTAATAATTATTGAATATAACAATTTTGAATCAGGTGAAGCTCTTGATGATGAAGATTTTGATTCTAATTCTTCAATGGGTGATGGTAGTGAAAGTGATGAATTGGATGGTGAGAATGTTGAGGAAGATGATGATGATGACGATGACGACGACGATGATGATGATGAAGATGGTGAAGACGATTTAGAAGAGATAGTTGATTCAGGGAATGCTAATCGAGTTGAAGGCAACAGAGAAGGTTCTAAAAATTCTGTATCTAAAAAAAAATTTAAACAGCCTCAAGAATGTGCACAACAATAGTAAGTTTTTCATATTTTTTTAATTTTTAGTTTTAAGAGTGTGAATCAATTAATTAAGATTATATATAAACTACAAGAGAATTATGCATGTACTAGTTTTCTTTTTATATTGAGTTTATATTTACTTGAGTCCTGCTTAATCTCTTTCTAGGAGTATGTTTATGTAGGGATTATGATATCTAATATAGAATTCAATTAAACGAATTCTTATAAAATGTAATTATATTTAGTCAAATTTTTAAAAAAAGTATATACATACATATATAATGTTGTGATTTTATTGAACTTAAATTTCCCACAAGTGGTAATATGTTAAAACCATATATATGGTGGTGGTGACTCATGTCACAAGGCTCGGTTCTTGCCCAGACTCCAGGCGGTACAGTTTATTCAGTTCCCACTCAGCTTGAGATCAGCGGTTGTTGGCTTCCAGAAACTGTTGTGTGGCCCTTAGTATTCATCTTAAAATTATCACAAGTTTTACAATTTTCGAAAGAAAAACTTTAATTCAGAGCAAAATTTATTTCACTTTTTAATTCTCTGAAAATTCCTATTTAGGACTTTTTTGTGTGCGAAAAGTGGATATCAACTTTATTTCTCTAATTAAAAATATTTACCTCCACATTACTACATTGCATAGTGGGCTGTATTTTTAATCTATCAGGACAAAAGTCAATATAAATTAATTAATTTGTACTTATAAATAATCAATTTCTTTGCTATTGAAATATGAATTTACAACATATAATTTGTGGATTATATAAAAAAAAAAAAAATCAAGAAAACAAAGAAAACTTACATTTGGTTCAAATAAATATTACTTATTAATTAGGTATTGATTGTTAATTAATATTTTATTATCCTAACAATAAATTAAAATGTTTACTACTAAATTATAATACTACTAAATTATAATGACATATTTATTTAATATGTCTAAGTCGCTGCTTTTACTTGTAATGTTGCTATTATCTTGGATCTTCATAATTTCTCTCTAAATGTGGACCTGAAGGTTGAATTTATTTTGTACATAATCCTAGATGATATTCTTACTTTGCTAAATCAATATAGTAATTACTTTTTGGTTCTTTAAGTGAATATAGGGCTAACATCTTTTATTTACATGTTTCGTTACTTAAATGAAAAATATATAAATGCTTAATATGTAAAATATTTGACTGGTATAAACAGAAAATGCCTATATTCTAATGTGATCAGATGTTCCGGGAAAGTTATAGCTTTTTGAAATTAGTTTGCAAGATCTTAATCTTAAAATTATGCTCAATTCCAAAACTTATTTATAAATCAGCGAGGATATTTTATGAATGCAGTTAAAACATTTTTAAAAGACTTACCTCTAGGGATCAAATCCATATTTAAAAAAAAATTCATAATTCTAAGGTTTGAAATTGATTACTCGTTCACTGGCAATCAAAACATCAGTACAGTTCGTTATTAAATATTGGCTCTCAACTTTCAATGTTTACTGTCACTTTTACTCATATTGTTTGTATACAATTTCTTGTGACCGGGCCCTACTAGGAAAAACTTAGTCTGTTCCCAACATAGCCTAAATTTGTTACCCACAATTGTCTTAATATGCCTTTTACCAAAGCCAAGGCTTATCCCACAGTTGGGTTCTGGTGCAACCGGCACTTGTGCAGAGCCTTTCCTAGCAAGGCAATTTACTTTCTCATTTCCTGGTATGCCTGAGTGCCCAGGCACCCATTCTACCCTCAACTTGTTGGCACTGCAGAGAAGGTCTAGATTGTTATCAATCTATTCATAATGCCCTCTCTTATAAGTGATTAAGTATAGAAACCTAGAATCCCGGCTTAAAAGATGGACGTATATCTACCTAGAGATATGAATATTCCCTCATTAGGTTGATCCTTTTTCCAGACACCAGCCCCTGATCCTTGCTCCATCAAGGATCCGTCGGTATAACAGTTAACTCCATTGCACAGTCTATGTGAATTATCCCTGCCTATCATCAAATTATACAGTATATCTCTATAATTATCAGCTTGAAGGTCACAGTTCGTTACTATCAATCCTATCAAACACGATCTCATTACCCTGAAACATCAGGCAGTTCTAAGAGCATGTGCTTCCACCATTAAATGCAATGGTGTCAGATTCAAGAGAACTTCCATTGCAGTAGTGGGAGTAGTGCTCATAACTCCAGTCGTCATAACGCATGTGAACATTTGAAGTTTGCCAAGCAGCATGAATGGCTTGCTTGCAGTTGCCCCATGCCACTACACAACAGTCACATAGAGGATTAAGGGTCTAATCGCAGTTCTGTATAACCATCTGGCCGTACTGGGTTTTAGTTCCCAGGATTTGTCAACAACTGTTCTGCATGCCCATAAACAGCCTATAACCTTAGCACTAATCTTTTCAATATGACTTAGCCAATTTAACTTACTATCTAGAGTAATCCCAAGATGTTTTACTTCACTACATATAGTTAATGATGATGATGTTAATGCTACAGAGGACGTTTAAGAAGGCGTCTAAAAAAATTCTCAATTTAAATACAAAACCCATTTGATATAAAGGACTCCTTTATATATATATATATATATATATATATATATGTTTTAGGGGTTCTAAAATTAATATAAAATACACCTCTCCCCCTCCCTCCTGATGTCTTTCAATAAAGTACAACAGTCCATTATTTTCAGGAATAATAGTTATAAAAAGGGTATTTTGGGAGGAACCTCTGAAGGGAACATCTTGAATTACTGAGAATGTACTGTATCCCATTGGCATTTATCTTGTGTAGACCAGTACTCAAAGATGCATTTTATAAAATAAAATAAAAAGTGTAACAGGATTATAGGTTGCTATAAGAGCTTACATTGCACTATAGGCAGCTGTACTCATTTTATAAATTTGCAATTACTTAATTCATCATTATTACACATAATAATAATAAAAAGGCTTAGCGAACCCGAAGGTTCGATGCCGACACCACCAATCGCTTATTGCACACCTCCCTCCATCGTTCGCCGTCCAAACCCAGTCCCTTCAGATCGGCTTTAATGCAATCTTCCCACCTTCGCTTCGGTCTACCCCATGGACGCTTACCATTCGGCACAGCAAATATTAGCCTTTTAGGAATTCTCTCGTTACTAAGTCCAACAACTTTACAAGCCCATTTGATTCGCCGCGATGAAATTATCTCAATTATATTACTCGGATAAAGTTCACGGAATTCAGCGTTGTGTAACCGTCTGAACTCTCCAGTTAACTCATCCTTCAATATTCTACGCAATACTTTATTTTCAAAAACCTTAAGACACTGCTCATCCCTTAATGTAAGCGGCCAAGTTTCGCACCCATAAAGAACTGTAGGCAAGATCATTGTTTTATAGATTCTAATTTTTAAGTTTCGCGACAAGAGGCGCGAACTAAGTAGTTTTGTCACAGAAAAATAACAAGCATTTCCCGCCTTCAGTCTAACCTTAATTTCTTCTTCAATTTCGTTTTTTCTAGTTATCGTAGAACCTAGATACCTAAACTTATCTACCTGTTCAAACATATTACCATCTATATCGATATTACCAGCAGTATTGCCATTTTTGCAGCTAACCATATATTTTGTTTTATCCACGTTTATTTCGAGTCCTTGTTCTTTACCGGCTTTCATTAACGTTGTCGTATTTAGTTTTATAGTTTCAAGGTCTTCTCTTAACAGTACCAGATCATCCGCATAGCCCAGCACGGATGTTGTCCCACCCAGATCCAACCCTTTCTCGGTACGCATTAGCTCCCTAATGGCATGTTCTAATGCCAAATTGAACAGGACAGGGGAAAAGGAATCACCCTGTTTTAAACCCGAACGAACCTCAAATTTTTTGGACAGATTATTACCGATTCTAACTTTATTGAGTGTCTCTGTCAAGCACATCCTGACTAGATTTACTAATTTTTTAGGAATCCCCTCTCGATTAGAATATTATACAGTTTCTGGCGGTCAATAGAATCGTAAGCCTTTTTAAAATCTATATACAGCTGGTGAACAATACCGTTGTACTCCAACTTTTTCTCTAATATTTGCTGTAAAGAAAATATTTGATCAATAGTCGAACGCTTCCGTCTAAATCCGCATTGGTAGTCTCCGATAATTTCCTCCGCGTATTCCGTGATTCGACTGGTTAAGATTAAAGTAAATATTTTATAACATACCGGAAGGAGTGAAATTCCTCGATAGTTATTACAATCCGTCCTCGGACCCTTTTTGTGAATCGGAATAAGAATAGATTCTTTCCATTCTTCAGGTAATTTCTCATATACTCAGATCTTTTTAACCAACCGATGTATTTTAGAAACTCCAGCTTCCCCGCATGCCTTAATTAGTTCAGTGGGAATATTGTCGGTTCCCGCTGCTTTATAAAATTTTAATTTTCCGATAGCTAATTCAACTTCCTCTTTACTCGGTCCTTCTATCAACGGTTCAGCACTCTGGTACTCAGAAGGAGGACACAGATCATAATTTCCCGTATTTAAAATATTGTCAAAGTGGTCCTTAAATTTATTCAATATGTCAACCGGATCGGTCAGAATATTGTTATTATCATCCCTAATTCCAGATGTTACGGACCCTACACATTTACATGATCTGTTTATACCTTTGTACATGTCTCTTACGTTATTTTCGATTCTATTAGTTTCTATTTAAATTATTTTATTTTTAAGATACTCCCTTTTTTTATTTTTGAGCAATTTTGTCGTTTCATTGTTTGAGGTTCGGAAGTATTCCAGATTGTCTTCACTAGGATTATTTAGAGCTTTTAATTTAGCGGCTTTTCGTTTTTCGCACATGTTTAAGCAATCTTCATCAAACCACGGTTTGTTATTCTTATTTTCCTTTTTTCCTAGACACGAGTTACCGACCGCTTTAATATTATCCCTGATCTCTACCCATAACTTGTCAATATCCTCGTGGTCCTCGTCAGGAAGCTCTAAAGCTTCAAACCTATTCTTAACATCTAGCTCGAATTGGGTTCTAATTGATGGATTTTTTAATTTGTCCAAATTAAAATTCTCAAAATCGAAACGGTTTTCTTTTCTCTTTTTTATATTAAGTTTTGTCGAAGTTTCGCGATTACTAATTCATGATCCGACCCACATTCTGCTCCGTGATAAGACTGTACATTAATTATACTGCTTTGCCAGCTATGTTGTATCAAGACATGGTCGATTTGATTTCGTGTTTGCGAATCCGGTGATGTCCAAGTATATTTATGAATATCCTTATGTTTAAACGTCGTACTTTTAATTATCAGGTTTTTCGAGATGGCAAAGTTTATCAGACGGATCCCATTATCATTACTATATTCGTGCAAGCTTTCTTTACCAATCGTGGGAATATAAACTTCTTCCCTTCCTACCTTTGCGTTCGCGTCATCTATAATTATTTTCATGTAGTTTCGCGGTAGTTTATCATAAACCCATTCGAATTTATCGTAAAATTCACTTTTGACTTCATCGTCACTGTCTTCGGTCGAACAATGTATGTTTATTAATGCGATTTTAAACCAACGTCCCTGAAATGTAGCTACCGAAATTCTATCACTAAAGAATTGTACGTCCCTCAAAGCGGATAGTAATCTACTCCTAATTAGAAACCCGGTACCCAAACAATGATTCCCGCTGTGTACTTTAATAAATAGTGTAGTTTAATAAGTCCGAAATAGTGTACTTTCCTTCCCTCATCGAGCCCTCCCCTGGCCAGCGAACCTCTTGCAGAGCCACGACATCCAAATTGTACCCATTCACCTCATTCGGGACCGATTTTAGCCCCCCTGCTGTGTTTAAACTCCTTACGTTCCACGTACCAATATTTAAATCCCTATATTTCAACTTGCGCCATGAATCCCCTAAAGCAGTCCCCACCCGGAGACCCGAACGGGGGACTAGTTTACTTCCGGATAATGAGCATTTTACCTTAGGGAGATCCATGACTATTTGTGGTGTTTGGTGAACTAAAGATATGTGAGTAGGGCGTTCAATCCTACGTCACACCCTCCAGCAAGTCTGGAGGGCCCCTCTCATTGTTGGTCAGCGAGTCCATCGGACTTAGCCGGGAGGAACTTCCAAGGAATTTCCACCGACCATCCCCACATCCGCCACCCGTGGGACACTCCCCATACTCGGTAATGAGCCCGCGCGACGCATTATTACACGTAACAGCATTTATTAATATTTTTTATTTGAAACATATATGTATGTGAAAAAAAAAAAATGGAATAGCTCTGTGGTTAACATAAAAAAAATTCTCACTAATGAAAATGATTTTGCCAAACACTTCGATAAAATTACAAAATATATTCTCTCCTCAAACATGCCTCGCAGATCAAGATAAACTTTTTACTTTCACTTTCCTATATATGCAATATATAGTAAGGGTAAGAAAAGATCGAATAAATCCATAAAACTTATAAGTCGAAACGCAGCGGCGTTATCTTAAAATGGACGTCATTTTCAAAATCTATGGCTCCGGAAACGTAAAAGTAGACCCACCCTTATATCAAATAAATTTGAGAAACTTAAATAAGTCGAAACACGGTGGCGTAATCTTAAAATAAAGGTAATTTTCAAAATCTACGTCTCCTGAAACATAAGAATACACCCTTATATCGAATGAACCCGAAAAACTTAATAAAGAAGTCGAAACGCAGTGGCGTAATCTTAAAATGGAGGTCATTTTCAAAATCTACGGCTCTGGAAACATAATAACACACCCTTATAACAGATAAATCCAAAAAACTTAAATAAATCGAAACGTAGTGGCATAATTTTCAAAATCTACAGCTCCTGAAACATAAGAATACACTGTTATATGGAATACATTAGAAAAATTTAAATAAGTTGAAACGCAGCAGCGTATCTTAAAATGGAGGTCATTTTCAAAAACTACACATACGATAACTGACCCATGCATCAAAAAATTACAAATAATTAAATAAATAAAAAAAGGTTGAATTTGATTTGGAAAAAGTTTAATTTGACTTGGAAAAGGTTGAATTTGATTTGGAAAAAGTTTAATTTGACTTGGAAAAGGTTGAAATTGACTTGGAAATGCTATAAAAAAAAAAAAAAAATTCTCGTCTTCTAAGCCTGATGGGAATGAAAGCTCGGATTAGTGTCCAATATTTTTTTATTGCACAAGCACCATGATGGCATCAAAAGATGTCATATACTAAATTAAATATATGCAATATCCGAAGCAAATATTCAAAATAAAAAAACAAATTCATTAAAAAATCACAGTGTAACAAAATTAGGTTCTGACCTTTCTCAAATTCTGAATTTGTTTTATATATTTTTGTTCATATACGAGAAAACTACCTTCCTTTAATTTAAATAAAAAATGTAGATGCAAATTCTTGATTAGGAGTGCAAAACACATTGAATATGTAGATTAAAAATAATTACTTGTTATCCATAATCTAATTTATTCCATTATTTTCAATTGAATAAACCTCGGTAGAGAGATTAGCGGTGTTATTATTTTCTCTATGTTTAAAATAATATTGTCTCAAAATGTTTATTTATGCTAGAATGAATTTTTTTTCAGGGAAAATGGTATTGCCGTTGAGAAGACAAATGAGAATGAAGTTTAACAATTCATTCAGGATTATTCTGGAGCCTATTATTATTATTTTGTTATACATATTTTCTAAACAAAATACAAAACATGAAATATTTGTAAATCGAAATTCGATAAATGTTAACTATGTAAACATTAATAATGTAATTCAACAAATAAACATCTATAATTATATTTTTATTCGTTATTACTTCCTTATAAACCTGTTTTATTTTAGCAGTACCTTAATTTGTCCATATTAGATACTGTCATAATATAGATCAATTTAAGTTAAATAAAGATTAAATCATTCAAGATATTAAACAGTAATCTCATGAATACTATATAAGTTATATACTTATGTAAACTCCTTTATAATATCAGTCTCCAGGTAGCTGCAGCTAGAGTGAGTTTAGAAGTTAATGAATCAAAAACCAAATATATGCATACAGGCCCACAACTGGATGTGCACGAATCATCCCATTTTATGGCAGGAAGCTTTTCATTTGAAAGGGTGAAAGAGTTTGTCTATCTTGGTTCACAAGCAAAGTAGACAGATTCTAATACCTCTACTCCACAATAACCTCAATAAATGACCAACTAACAGATATAGACCAGCGAATAACAAGTTCGATAACAGATCTTTCTTCTCTCTTTTGAAGGTACTGAAATAAAAAAAAATCTCCAGTAATTTTAAATAAGGGTGTATTCCACGGGCAGATCTACGGGGGGGGGCTTTCGGGCTGAAGCCCCCCCCCCAAAATGGGAAAATATAACCATGTTTTATCGAAAAAAACATTAAAAAATTATCTCTCAAAGTACTATTGTTCGTGTGATTACATTCAAAAGGGCTTTAGGAATCACTTAAACACCATTTCATATAGGTAGTTAGTTTCTTTCTTTTTTTCTGAAGTAATTATCGTTATTTTTATGAAAAAAAAATCTTTCGGGCTCAAGCCCCCCCCCCCCAAAAATTAAATCCTGGATCCGCTAGTGGTGTATACCGCCGTGATTAAGCCAGTTCTGCTGTACAGTTGTGAAAACTGGGCTCTAACTGGCACACTAGAAGCCAGAATTGAGAGATTCAAAAGAAAAGTTCTGCGTAGGATAACTGGATAACTGCGTAGGATAACAGGACCTCTATGGGACCAGAACCTTGACTCATGGAGGAGAAGGAACAATAAAGAACTGATGAAAGAAACGGGTCAGTCAATATCTCATGACATGAAGGCAAGGAGGTTAAGATGGGCAGGGCATGTAGCTCATAGCAATCCATCAGGATGCCTTTACATGACAATGAATGCAAGAGACCACCTGGAAGGCCAAAAACCAGATGGATAGATAAGATAAACAAAGATATGGCTGAGCTTCATGCTGCAAACTGGAAAGCAGTAGCCCAAGATAGGAAGAGCTGGAGAAGGCTGGTTCAGGCCGCCAAAGATCTACAAGGTCTGTAGAGCCAACCGAAAAAAAAAAATATATATATATTCAAGTTTAAATTTTTTTCTTATTCTCGCTTTCAAAGTAATTGTTCTTTCTTTATCTTATTATTATATATATATATATTTGTTCTAGTTTAAAGTTATTTTCGTGTGTTATTTATATTTATAGTGTTTTTCTTATTATCATTTTCAAAGTAATTTTTCATTATTTTCTTATTATTATATATATTTATACTATTTTAAAGTTATTTTTGTTTGTTCTTTATATCTATAGTGTTTTTCTAATTATCGTTTTTAAAGTTATTATTCATTATTTTTCTTATTGTTATATACATTTGTTCAAGTATAGTAAAATAGTAGTTCATGAGTGTGAAATGATTTGTAGTAAGTGTGGACAGGTGTTTACATGAAATGATAACATGTTAAGGCATGAAATCACATGCAAAGTAGTTTTTAAGAGATCCTGCCTTTTCTGCGAAACAAATATTACAAACGTTTACAATTATTTTAGGCATGAGCAATAATTTATTAATAAACCTCCAAGGAAAAAGCCTAGACAAGAACCACAATGGCAGGACATCAAACCCAATGCTGTAGGTTTTTCAGAGTATGAGATGGCTTTAAAAGGGAGGTTGAGGTCTTATTTTATTAGATGCGAAGATAATTATAACCTATCTAAATTTTTTAACAGCATTAGAAACAATGTTTTTATTAGAACAAATGCTTCCCTCCGAGAACATGATTCAATTAAAATAAATATTGGGCTGATTGCGTAATGATAAATCAGTTAAGGGAGAGTATCAGACATCTTTTAAGACCCCTAATAAGGCAATTTTTAAAGATACTGACAGAAAAAATAATAGAGTGGGTTTCATAAAATCATTAATGGAATGGAAAATATGCAAATTAAGAAGTCGGGGTGGAAACTGTACTATACTTTCTCCCTGTATTTTTACATAACATGACCGGGTATGATAGCCATTTGTTCGTGAGAGAATTGGGCTATGACGAGAAAAGAATCGATATGATTCCTAATTCAGAGGAAAAATACATCACTTTTTCAAAATATGTTAGTAACAATTTGAAAATCAGATTCATGGATTCATATCGGTTGTAATCCGACAGCCTTGATTCTCTCGCGAAAATCGTTCCAGATATACCCACTATTAAATCTTTGTTTAGAAGGGAGGAGGTTGAGGTTTTAAAAAGAAATAGGGTTTTTCCTTATGAATATATGACAACCCCTGAAAAATATTCAGAAACGAAATTACCCTCTAAAGAAGTATTTTTTAATAACCTTTCGCAGGAGCATATATCAGACGAAGACTATAGACATGCTCAAAAGGTATGGGATACGTTTAAATGTAAGACGCTGGGTGATCACAATGATATATATATATACATATGTGTGTACATGAAATCAGATACTCTATTACTCACTGATATTTTTTAATCTTTCCGGCAAATAATAATAAAGTCACATAAATTAGATCCAGCGCATTTCTTTACCGTTCCTGCGATGGCGTGGGATGCTATGTTAAAATTCACGAAAGTAAAATTAGAACTATTAAATGATTACAACATTATTTTAATGTTTGAAAGGGGGTCTAAGAGGGGGTCTCTGTCAGGTTTCGATTCGCCAAAGCCAACAATAAATATTTAACTGATTTTGAACCCAATAAAGATTCAACTTATATTTTTTATGAAGATTGGAATAATTTATATGGCTCAGCAATGTGTTAACCCCTCCCCATTGGAGAATTCGAATGGGTAGACCCATCTCACGTCATCATCGACGAATTGAGTGAAAATGATGAATTCGGTTTTATTTTAGACGTCGATTTGACATATCCAACCCAATTACATGATGCACACAACGACCTACCATTTTTACCGGAGAATACAAATTTTAATGAAAAAAAGTTTTAAAAAACTAATAGCTCATTTTAAAGAAAAAAACAATTATATAGTTCATTACATGACATTAAAACAGGCCATAGGCCATGGTATAATTTTAAAAATATTAATAGAGTTTTAAAATTTAGACAAAGTTGTTGGCTTAGAGATTATATAATATATAATACGGAATTAAGAAAAAAAACAACAAACGAGTTCGAAACAGATCAAATTAAATTATATATATATAAATGCTATATTTGGTAAGACAATGGAAAACATAAGAAAAAGAATATACATCAAATTAGTATCAAACGTCAACACTTTGGAAAAATTAATTAAAAAACTAAATTTTAAAGATAGGACAATTTTTAATGACAATTTAGCAGCTGTTCACATGGAAAAGATGAAACTTAAATTTGACAAACCGATATATGTAGGCAAGGCCATATTAGATTTATCAAAAAATATTATGTACCATCATTACGACGAAATGATGATTGAATATGGCCATGTCAATTTAAAATTGATGTAAATGAATACCGATTCTTTTATTTATTCTATTAAAACCGATAACTTATATAACGATATTTTAACAATGAAAGATAGAATGGATACATCCAATTATCCAACGCATTACCCCTGTTTCTCAATAAACAACAAAAAGTAATAGGAAAATTTAAAGACGAAACGAAAGGACAGCCTATTTTAACTATCTTCTTATTTTTCTTTTTTATTAAGCCTATTTTAACTTTTAGAGGGCTTAGGCCAAAAATGTATTTTATAGATATCGGGGAAAAAGTAATAAAAAAAAATTAAAAGGATAAAAAACATGTCGTAAAAAAAGGAATAACTATTGAAGATTACAAGAGCTGCCTGAGAGAGCATAAAACATTTAGGCATAAAATGCAACTAATTAGATCTCATCATCATGAAATATCGACAATAGAAATCAATAAAATATCTTTATCATCGTACGATAAGAGAGCAATATTGGAAGATGTGGAGAGTACTCTGGCTTTTGGGCATTATAAGTTAGAAGAATAGTTGTTATCATTGGCTTGCGGATGCTAAAACATCCGTAAGCCATAGAATGAATGGACCGCTGGCGGAGTCGAAAGACTCGGTAAGTCGTGTAATTGAGCCTCTGGAGCAGTCGAAAGACTCGTAAGCTATATGTATGGACATCTGGCGTAGTCGAAAGACTCGTAAGTCGCGTGTGTATGTGAGGTGACATCTATTTTTCCAGCCTATAATACCCAAAACATTTCATCTCCTCATTTGTAGAATCATGTTTTTAATTTCTCCAATGCTCTTTCAGGTAGGTATTTTATTTTAGCTTAATTTTAACAATTTTTTTATATTTTATTTATTTTATTGAGGTGTCCGTTGCTACAATATTTTATTTATAGTTTTATTTTTAATTTATACTTGACTTTTATTTCTACTTTATAACTGTATCCATTACTTTAATATTTTATTTCATAATTTTAATTATTTATTTTACTCTTGTATTTTATGATTTTAGCGTTTTAAATAGTAATTTTTATATGTTTCGGGATCATATGATCGCTTGAAAATTAATTATCATAAAAATTTAATTCTATATTTGAATTGAAATATCTTAAGTTCAAACAATCTTTTAGAAGAAAAATCGTATAGGCAGAAGTATAGAAAGGCACAAATTATAATTATGGAAACTTATTCCCAAAAAAAACTAGTACCTCTCCAAAAACAAAAGTTGGAAGGTGAAATGTCAGGGACTAAGGAACCGAAACCTCCCGATATCTTTTCCATGTGCTCAAAGCGGCCTCATGGGTAAGAAAATATATCGAAGTCTCTATTTCAGATGAAGATAAGATTTTCCTAAACACTAGCCCATTCAAAGTTTGCAAGTTTATTCAAAGTTTTGCTCCGCAAACAAAAATTAAGTTTTTGCGTGTGGC